GTGATGGTGGTGATAATAGAGGTGGTGATGGTGGTAATAGTGATGGTGGTGGTGATGGTGGTGGTGGTGGTGATGTTGGTGGTGGTGGTGATGGTGGTGGTGATGGTGATGGTGGTGATAATAGAGGTGGTGATAGTGGTAATAGTGATGGTGGTGGTGATGGGGTGTGGTGATGATGGTGCTTATGATGGCGGTGAACATAACAGCAGTACACTAATGATGGCGGGGATGATTTGGTTATAATGATAGGGGAAATGGTAATGATGACAGGGCATGGAAGCAGCTGATACTGGCTGAGGATCTGCTCTGGGCCAGGCTCTGTTCGAAGCATGTGACACGTGTTACCCATTTACTCTCCACAACAGTTTCAAATGGAGCTCCAGCTATCATTTTTCCTGTTTTGCAGAGAAGGAAACTATAGCACACTGCTAGTGTGACAAAACACTAGATCACTCTTTGAAGAAAACTATGATTCTCATAAAAGGCTCCTTGTTGAAATTTCAAAGTGATGATGACTTCCAACAGGAACTGATCAGATCCCCACATGCTGCTCTTGGAAGGGCTGCCCAACATCCTCCTTTAGTATTTTTATTTTTTAATTAATTTTTTCTTTTGGAATCATTTTAGAGTTAGAAAAAGTTGTGTTGGTCAGCTTTCTATTACTATAACAAAAAAACTGAGACAATAAAGATTTAAAAAGGAAGGGTTTGTTTTGGGCTCATAGCTCTGGAAGTTTCAGTCCATGGGTAATTGGCTCCCTTATTTTAGGCCAATGGCAGCATGTCAGGGAGGAGCACATGGTAAAAAAAAGCTACTCACTTCTTGGCAGCTGGGAAGGAAAATAAAGAGAGGGAAAGGGGTCAGGTCCCACTATTCTCTTCAAGGATGTGCCCCCAATAAGCTGACTTCCTCCAACCTTTAAGACGTTCTATACCTTCTGACAGAGTTAGAGCTAGAGACAGAGTCTTTAACTTGTATGCTTTTGGCAGAAGTTTCAGATTCAAAGTATAGCAGAATAAGGCTGCACACCTGTAATCCCAGCACTCTGGAGGCTGAGGCAGGAAGTTTGCTACGAGTTGAAGGCCAACCTGGGCTACATAGTGAGTTCAAAGCCTGCCTGAACTACACAGCAAGACCCTGTCTCAAAAAAAAAAAAAAAAAAAATCATAGCAGAATACAGAAGGGCCAACCAAATAGCTCAGCGGATTAAAGTGCCTGCAAGCAGGCACAGGGGCCAGGGGGTTTGATCCCCAGGGCTGCCATGCCAGCCCCACCCCTGGAGGGGTGCTGAGATGGCAATTGAGACTGGGCGTAGTGGCACATGCCTGTAATCCCAGCTCTTGGGAGGCTGTAAATAGGTGGATCACTACAAGTCTGATCTAGTAGTGAAACCCTGAACACCCTGTAGACCCTCCCCAAAAATACAAAAAGAAAGAAAGAAAAAAAAGAAGAAAGAAAAACATATTTTTCCTGATTATGGAAATAATGATTTAAAAAAAAAAAAAAAAAAGGTCATGTGATCCCTCCTCTCCCCCACCCACAGGCAACAAAAATAGAACTATAAAGTCATATACCCTATGCACATATAAATACACATTTTGAAAAATAAATTGTATTATTTTATTATCTATCTCATTTTGTTTTTAAAATTAATGAATCTGTTACATGTACATATCTTTCTATATCTGCTTCTTTTTAACAGCTGGGCCATATTTCGTAATGACCCAACATAGCACGGTAGACCTGGTAGGCACGTCATGTTTTCCAGTTTCTTGATCACACTGGTGGTCACTGAGGCATGACATCTGACGCCCAGCTTAAAGGAAGAGGTTTATTTTAGCTCACAGTTTGTAGAGGTTTCAGTCCAGAGTCTGCCGGCTCTGAGGTAGTGTAGCTTGGTGCAGAGGTGTGGCAGGGAACACCTGCCGGTGTCAGAGTGGCAGGGAAGCGGAGGAGCCCGGAGGGAGTTCTTCCAGGCCACGCCCCAGTGACGCTCTGGCTCCCTCTAGGTTCAGCCTCCCAACATCACATTTAGCCAGAAGTTCCTCCCGGAGCTAATCCTCTGATGAGTATCACACACGCACACACACACACACACACACACACACACACACACACACTGTGGTCCAATGACCTCAAAAAGCCCTGCAGATGAGCCCATGAGCCTTTGGGGCAGTGTCTACATATGAACCACAACGCTAGTTTTTTCGGCTGCAAACAATGTCACAATGGCAAAGTATTGCTTCGCACTTGTTGGGATGTTTCTCTAGGATACATTCTAGAAGCAGCACATGCTGCAGTGACTTAATCTGGCTGGGGACCACTCCAGGTACCCCCTTTCTCCATGCTGGGATAAATGCTGGGTGCATCGATCCTCTCTTTCCCTCCCTCTTTCTCCTTCCCAGATACTTTCATGGTGGAAGATGCGGTGGAAGCCATTGGGTTTGGAAAGTTTCAGTGGAAGCTGTCTGTTCTCACTGGCTTGGCTTGGGCAAGTATTTCTAGGGGTACACTAGCCTTACATGCACCTCCAAGAACACCTCTGCCTGCTGCTGTTCAACTGGGCTCGTGTGGTTTATGAGGGGGGAAGCAGCTATCTTTCTCCACATAGAATCTTTGCCTGAATTCCAGTTAACAGTTTATATGGGTTGATGAGCAGTGATAATTCAGGTCTGTGCTTAGAGAAAAGTGGGTGTGGCTGGTGATTATCCCAAGGATAGACTAGAAGCTTCCAGATAATGAGTGGTTTTCTACCCTGAGGGCTCTGCACTACTATATCATGATACCAGCTGCACTACTGTATTATGGTACCAGCTGTAGAACTCTCTCTGAAAAAATACACACGAGAAAATGTTGTCACCTGTGTTGGGGGTGTAACTCAGTGGGAAAGTGCTTGTCTAGCATGTTCAAAGCTCTAGGTTCAATCCCTGGTACCTCTAAATAAATAAATAAATAGGTTGGGCATGGTGGCACACCCTGTAATCCCAGCACTCAGTAGGCTGAGACAGGGGGGATAGCTTCAAGTTGGAGGCCAGCCTGAACTACATAGCAAGACCTGGTCACAAACAAGCAAACAAGAGGTTTAAATTTTGCCCTCTACTTCAAGTTGCTCACAAACTTTGTTAGAATCCTTTGCCCAGCTGTGGCAAATAGCACGGCTAGATCCTTAATCCAGCTGAAATTGATTTTCGGCATGAGACAGCCGTTCAACTACACATTTGACCAAACGGGTCATCAATTTCCCCTCATCAATTCTGACTGCTTTATCCCCTACCACATTCCCACGGCGGCATGGGTCTGCTTTCAAACTCTCATTTCTTATTCTTCTGTCTGGCTAGTCCTGTAAAGTCGAAGATATTTAATTACGGGGGCTCTTCCTAGTATGTTTTAATATATGAAAAGGTCATGCTTGTTAAATATACTGATTATTAATTCTACATGAACAAATGACCTACGAAACAGAGAAAAACTGGTCTCTAATTGCACCAAAGAGGAAAGATCATTGTCTCTTGATTCCTTGAGAATGTTTTGCTCAGGCTTTTGAAATATGATTTTTTTCTACTTCTTTCAGCAGGGCCTGGATTTTTTTTTTCTTTTTCTTTTTCTTTTTTTTCTTTTTTTTTTTTTTTCTTTTCTTTTTGTGGAACCAGGGATTGAACTCAGGCCCTTGCACTTGCCAGGGAAGCACTTATTCCACTGAGCCATCTCCCTGGCCCTGGACTGTTTTTAAATATGGGGAAACACAAAAAGCACTAGATGTCCATTTGTTGACTCTTGCATGGCATATCTACTTGGGCTACCGGGTTTGGACGTTGGGTGACCCCGGGTGGCAGTTAAGCATTTGCTGCATGCTCTCTGGGATCGGGGGTTGGTCAGCCGTCCCCGCACCTGGCAGCAGCCTGGCTTCACAGTGTCCCCTTCCTTCTGCAGATGGCTGACGCCATGGAGATGATGATCCTGAGCATCCTCGCCCCGCAGCTGCACTGTGAGTGGCAGCTGCCCAGCTGGCAGGTGGCCCTGCTGACCTCGGTAGGTGACTCTTCCTGCTTAGGCACAACTCAGGTCCCCTTGGGTGTCTGGAGGGATGTCCCTCTTCCGCTGCAACCAAGAGCTCATGGGACAAGAATCAAGTGCTGGTTGGAAACACCAGGACCTCAGCTTCCTCTCCATCTCAGCCTCCTGCGCAGGTTAAGGTAGCAGCCAGGTCTGCCCCATGCAGGGCTCCAACTGCTCGAGGGGCTGCAGGGTCCTCTGAACTGCTGAGCACTTGTAATCCAGCTATGCATATCCCTTAAACTTTATAAACCTCTCTTTTCCCCAACTGCAAAAAATAAGATGCCAACTTCCTTCATCCAGCCCAATGCATGGTAGGCATTAGATAAGTGCCAGGAGAGCTGCTCCTAAGGGGATGGGGACCAAACTCTCAGTTGCTATTGGGGGAGTTCACCAGCAAGCATGTAGAAGGGAGGACTGTGACCTGGCCAGACAGAAGTAGAATAATGATAGCTATAGAAGCTACTGTTTACACAAAAGCTGTGCAAAGGGTGACAGCCCCATTGGATACAATATGTGTGGAGTCGTCTGCACTCTGTCCTTTAATCCTACAGTCTATGACATGGCACTATCATCAGTGTATCCAAGCCTCGCACATAGCAAGGGTGGAGGGAATATTCCTTTCTCCTTCTCCTGGCTCCCACTGATACCTCCTAGAAGGAGCTTCAGGGCTGTCTTGTGATACTGGAGATCAAACCCAGGGGTGCTCTACCTTTGAGCTACATCCAGGTTGCTCATTTGCCCTGGTGGGAACTTGTACTCCTCCTGCCTCAGTCTCCTGCAGTGCTTGGATTGCAAGCATGTGCCACTACTGCCAGCTAGGTCTGTGTTTTTGTGAAAGAGGGACTTTCTGCTCTCTTGTCATTGATTTATTACAACCACATTTTGGGCTGGGGATGTAGCTCAAGAGTACAGAACTTTTCTAGCATGTGCAAAGCACTGGGTTTAATACCAAACACTGACTGCAAAACAAACAAGCAAAACCCGCACGATTTACTGAGCAATTATTATGTGTCAGGCTCTGGGCTAAAGGTTTTGCATATACTAAGTCTATAGCCCTCTCAACCTTGTGAAAAAAAAAAAAATCATTAGTCCTGTTTCTTATTTTTAAATTTTTATTCATTTATTTTTTTAAATGTATTTAGCACAGGGTCTACAGGGCCTCACTATGTAGATCAGACTCATAGTGATTCTCCTGCTTTCAGCCTCCCAAGAGCTGGAATTACAGGCCCACACCATCACACCTACTCTGAGCAGCTGTCTCAGCACACCCCAGGGGCGGGGCTGGCAGGACGTGTGGTGCCAGAGATCGAAACCTGGTTCCTGCGCCTGCCTAAGCAGGCCCTTTAGTCTGCTGAGCTATTTGGCTGGCCCATTAGTCCCATTTCTACAGATAAGGAAACTAAGGATTAGAGATGCTTAGTGGCAGATCTGCTCTGGGTCGCAAAGCCTAATTTAATCCAAGACTGGCAGATCCCAAGCCCCTGTTCCCAGCTATGGCTCTGGGTTATTTGTGGTAGAAAGTCTAGGGGCCGGGG